CTTTTGTCGCTGAGGTTCATGCAAGCAAATGAGGGCGCATAGCANCTTTAACACGGCCATGCAAGATGACCGCAGCGCCCCTCTGAGACACACGGCCCAACCCACGACAATTGCAAAGGGCAACAAGGTCTTTCTACTTGTGGGGGGCAATCATCTACAATCCGCTTCAATAAAGGAGCAGATTCCACAATACTTTCAGTATCTTGATTTGCTTGTGGGTGAGGCCACGGAAAATAAAGCCATTCGATGGGGTGAACCTACCTCGCTTTTATCACAGATCGAACCATCTGCGAAAGAAAAAGGCATTGAACGCTTCCAGACTTGCGGTGGCTCAGGCGCTCTGATGGAGGATGGCACGCTTGTGTTTCCTGTGATGGCGATGAAGGGAGAAAATAGCGTTGCCTCCATGATCATTTATTCGAAAGACGGCAAAACATGGGGGCTACCAATGAACATTGGCTTTGCGGAGTGCACTGACCCTTTCATCGTCGAGTGGGAGAGGGGACAAATTGTGATGATTACTCGCTGTAAGAATGATGTCAAAGCTATGGAGTCGAGGGACATGGGGAAAACGTGGAAGCGGGCTGTCGGGGCAATATCGCGCGTGGAGGAAAATATTCTGCCAAATTCTATTTACAGGCGTTGGCTTGTGACATCCTTCACCACTGCGACCATTGCTGGAAAGAAGGTCATGCTGTACACTCAGCCAAAAGTACATTTCTGCGGCTGTGGGGCCAACTCAGCTCTACATTTGGGTCACCAACAATATTCGCACGTTTAACGTCGAGACCGTTTCCATCGACACCGATGGGGGGAAGATGCTCAGCAGCTCCCTGCTGCACTCCAATGGTGCGCTGTATTTTTTGCAAGAGAAGAACGATTACCCGACAAGGAGCTTGTTACTTTCCCTCCTAACGGAGGAGCTGAAGACAATTACGTCTGTCTTGGAGACTTGGGCAAAACTGGACTCCTTCCTCTCCAAGTCGTCTGTGCCCACGGCCGGTCTGGTTGGATTCTTGTCGGATGCATCGGGTGATGAAACTTGGAACGACGCGTACCGTTGCTTGAATGCAGTTGTGGCGAATGCAACGAAGGTCGAAAATGGCTTTAAGTTCACGGGGTCCGAATCATACGCCATGTGGCCGGTGAACATGTGGTACAATGGCAAGCTGTACGGCTTTTTGAACTACGCGTTTACGCTTGTAGCGACGGTGACCATCGATGAGGTACCGAAGGAGAGCGGTCGTTTACTGGGCGCGAGCTTGAATGATAAGGAAAACACAGAGTTTGTGGGGCTGTCGTACACGACGGAGAAACAGTGGGGGACAGTCTTCAACGGCATCACGACAACAACACACAGCAGCACTTGGGAGCCGGGGAAGGAGTACAAAGTGGCGCTCATGCTGGAGGGTAACAAGGGCTCCGTGTACGTGGACGGCGTGCTCGTGGGAAAATCGGACACACTACCAACGCTTCAAAAAAGGAGTGACAAAATATCAGGCTTTTACTTTGGCGGCAGCAAAGACGGCAGCGCGACAGTAAAGAACGTCTTTTTGTACAACCGCCCATTGAGTGAGCAGGAACTCAAAAAGGTCGACGACTACGATCCATCTGGGAAAAATGGAGGCGACAGCTCCATGCGTGCGGATGTGTCTTGCGTGCTGCTGCTGCTGCTGCTGGGGCTATGGTGCCTTGCGGTTCTATCCTAAGTGGGGCACAGTGGAGGGGAGTTTGTGCTTCCGGAAGGAACAAATGCGCCTGTCTACGCCCTCTGAGCCAATTGAAGCATCCTGAGGGCATTTTGCATTATTTTATATAATTTAATTAAATTCAAAGCTCCATTTTAGCCTATGCATAAAAATTTGTTTGGTGTGAGAGCACACTTTTTCCCTTGGACCGAGCATAACAGGGCCTTCATCTGTTTTTTATTTTATTTTGTGCTTTT